CCGGTCCGTTGATGGCGGTCTTCTCCTTATAAGTAACTTTAAGTGGACGGAAAATTCAGGACCCGGAGTAACGGGTGCCTCGGGTGGGAAGTAGCCCTCCCCCTCTCCCGGCACCCAGCCATCTACTTTGTGGTCTTTGACTCTGCAGCTTGAGGGGCCCAGGAAAGTGTTTCGCAGCCCTGCCGCCCTTTCTGGGCGCCTCGTCCGGGTGTGTCTTTTTAGGTGAGAATAGGACCGGTTGCTCCCGGCGCTTCCCAGCTGGCTGTGTGGGGCGGGGACAGGCTTTTGAGGTTGTATCGGGCTCTTGGGAAAGATGCTGGACTTTCGCTTCTTGCTCAAGATTTCTGTCCTTAGCTTTCCCGGCGTTGTCCTTTCTCGAAGGGGAGGGGTGTTCAGGGTGAGATGAACGATGGGGCTGCAAGCTAGCGATTTTCTTGTCTGATCGCACACCTTGAGATACGTCTCAAAGGGGAGGGGGGAAAGCAATCTGTGTATTGATGTTTTCCTCGGGAAAAGTCTTTTAGGACAACTTAATGCTAGTTTTGATATCCCCACCTTTTCTTGGGAACTCTCTCAACGCTGAGGCAGATAGAAAAGAGAAGTTGTCTTTCCCGTTAGTGATTTTTTTCTTAGCTGTTGGTGTTTATTAACCATTAATTGACACCGCTTGAATAAAGTGAGCTAGTGACGGGTTTAACGGAAATACTTATAATTGCATTTGTAAAAATCACGTATTAAATGTTCATTACATGTTGAATACCTTTTCCGTGCTGTGGGCACGACTAGATTAACTCTTCTCTGGAGGGATATTTTGCATGTGGGGCGCATGGCTCTGGGTTGCAAATATCCTGGAGATGCTTTTTGCAGCAGCTATTCAATTGGCAAAGAGGAATAACGCTTCCTGGGAACACCAGTGACACACTCTTTTAGGACTGTCAGCCTACTGAATTTTCCTCGCTGAGAGCAATAAAATGGTTGATTTCGTATATTTCTATGAAAACTGGTGGACCCGCCCTCACTTAATATCTTTTCCGGAGGAGAAATAAGAGAGCGCAATGCGATATTTTTCAAATTGTTTCTAATCTAACGGAGTGCCCCTAAACCCTGGACTTCTTTTACCCATTGACTGGCTGGAAGGAAGCAGAACTGGGGGGTTGAATGTTGAACGCTACATTATTTTTCTCGACCAACCGAAAAATTGTATTTTTCAGTCGGAGAATCAGAAAGAGGTACAGAACGTTGAAAGGGGGAGTTAAAGAAAAGTTAATGTTCAATACGTTTTTTCCGTCCCTAAAGGACTTTCGGGTGGTTCTGAAACACATATGAAAAGTAAAACTGAAGGGACTGTTTTCTCAAAATTGTATTTCTGCTGGCTGAAATTACAAAACCTGTGTATTTGGTGTGTTCCTATTGGTTAAAAACTCAGTGAAAGATTTAAGGTTTTTTTTCTTAAATAAAAAAAAAAAAATTCATCCTAAACTACATCTTAAGCTACATGCCTTTTCTGGTTGTAGATGACTGGAGACTTATTTTGATGAAAAGAAACTTTGATTTTTTTTTAATGCTAAATCATTGTTTCCACATGAAATTGGATATATTTTTAGAATTTTGCTTAATTCACCCATTGCAGTGGAATTCAAATTTTAATTTACAAGATATTTATATTTAATTTAGCTAATAGAACAAGTATGTATGAACAGGTGCATACAATCGTATATGTGATTACATTCCTTTGATAAATAGATTGTACATCAGAGTGCATGCGTGTTTTATTCGGTTGGTTTTCAATTGATTTTTCTAATTGAAACAGGCATCAATATATTTGTTTATTAGCAAGCTTGTCATCATTTTAATTGTATCTTGATAGTAGAAGGGTGAGATTTTCAGAAAAAAGACAAGGAACAGCTAAGAATTGTTGCTGCTTTTCAAAAGAATTTTTAAAATTTCACAGAAATGTGTTTTTAGTGAATAGTAATCGAAATTTTTGAAAGTTTGTATTTTAGATTAAGTCAAATACATAATTACAAAATACTTAAAAACATCTAAGACTTACAAACTATAGAGCTGTAAATTTTTACTCAGCTATACCAGTAGCTGAGTATAAATCATGCTATTTTTATTGCCTTCATAACAATAATAGTGCTTGTTGAGTCCATATTCATTACTTTTCTCAAAGCTCTGTTTTGGATCATTTCTTGAAATTTTTGTAAGATGTTAATTATCCTCTATGAAATTTAACTTAATGAAATTGTAGGATGTGTCATTTCTTTTTTAAATTCCTGTATACCTAGAGTACTAGGAATATTGGGGCTTGCTTTTTACTGTCGGTTTTTGTATTTTAATTTTCATTCAGATTGACTAGGAGGGTGCTTAGTGATAGGAGAAAACTTTAGATTCCCCTGACTTCTTAAGTATACCCGTATACTTTTTTACTGCTTTGGTGTATGGAATTTTTGTTTTGTTTCCTTGTTATGAGGGTGATGTTGAAGGTTATTTTGTTTAATAAGCCGTACTTTGAAAGAAGTGATTTTTTTTTTAAATCTTCTAAACACACTTATCACCTAAATAAAATCCACAGCATTCAAAATATTTTCCCTATTATGTAATGCTAGATAAAGGAAGATACTGGTGGTGTACTTGTGAACATGGTGAACATATAGGTTTTAGTCCAAAAGATGTATATATTTTTGATATTTACATACAGTTATCTGTTTCTTTATAGAAATTGATACAATAGTTCTAACTTATTTTCTGTTCTATTGTAAGGACTAAGAAAGTCATTATTACGGAAAACAATGGGGAAATGATGCTGCTACAGTAGCTCACTTTTTTTAAAGCTAGACTTACTGTGGGGAGAGGGAACAAGAAAAGGTATCTGTCTTATTTCATTTGGTTATCTTTATAGTTTTTTTAGTCCTAGTAAAAGTATAAGTCTAGACTTTTAAATGCTATTAACTTGTTTTCATTGTATATTTTCTAATCAGATTAATATCAATTCTAATGTTTATCAAAACATCTAAGGATGAAAATTTCAGAATAGCTTTCACATTCTGGATTCCTTGTTTTTGGGTACCACATATTTTGGATTATGAAAAGACATATGTATATTTTTATTTCTATTTATTGGTTTCTAGTAACTATTCAGAATGTCACAAAATACTATAAGAAGTATCAGTCAGTTGATTTGGTTTACAAAATAAAAAATCCCAGGGACCATATTAGCTATTTCTTCTGTGACACATAAGCTTTCACCAATTGAATTTTAAATTTAGCTAACCGTACTCTTAAACTATTACTAATTAAAAATAGTTTGTCTTTTCTTCCTTTTATTTAGTGGTAATCTCACATAGGTTTTGTTTTTTGTTTTTGTTTTTTTAACCCCTTTTAGGAGAAAGATTAGCCTAATTATTACTGGAACACACATTTTAGAATTTTCAGAATATATGTGTAATTTTATTTCTTTTTTCTAATTATTTCTTTTTTCTAATTTTTCTATAACTGTGCTTTATAGCTAGCGTGGCACATAATTAGAACTCTAAAACTATAATTGCTCAAATTTTGTTACCCTAAACCTCATAAGGCCAAAGAAAATCAGTAATAAAGTGCTATATTTCAAATAATTGTTGAAAAAGAGATAAAGCATTCAACTTTCAGAAGTGACAGTGTTAGAACATTAAAGTAGTGATTGTTATGCTAATAACATTATATTTAGAATATCACATTACTGAATATGTTACCTGATTATATGTATAAATGACTGTATATCTATAAATACTGCTTTCTGGTAGAGAAATGACTTTTTTGTTTCATTGTGTTTGTTTGTTTCTTGCCTGTAGTATTAAAGATATTTTAAAATATCTTCCTTTAAGACCCACAAAATAATAGAATTGATACTAAATACTTATTTTGATTTTATTAATACATAACTGGGTTATAAGAAGTCTAGTACACTTTTGCTTAATCCTATTTTATTTTCACTGGAGAATGTCTACACTGAAAAGACTTGTAGTGGTTTCTAAGTATTAGTAATAAGCTAATAGGATTTTACTATTTAAAGGTTTTTTAATGTCACATTTTTATCAAACATTTGGTTAATTTGTCTTATATTCAGACCTCTTTTGTCCTTATTATGTAGCATTTTTTGTTTCCCTACTGTTTAAAAATGTACACTGCCATATTAAAAATTTAACATTTACACTACTGTACTAAGAATTTAACATTTAGGATTTTTTCTGTATTTTCTAACTTAATATACATTTTCAGTCTGCTGAAAATGTAGAAAACTAAATTTTTTAAATGTTATACTATTTGAATTGATACTGAATTGAATCATGTACTTATGAGATATATGATTCTGTGAGTTTTATCATTAAACACTCAAATATTTGACTCAGGAATAAAGGTTTAGTTTGGTTTTTTTTGTAGTAGTATGTTTTCCTAAGCCATTCTTAAATAAAAATGGAAAACTCATTCATAGCACTATGGTATAATTTAAACTGTGGTTAAAAAATAAACCTTGGTAATTTAGTATTATATGGTTGATTGCCACTGAATCATTAAGTTTCAGAGAGGTGAAGCATATGAAAACGACACTTATACTCAAAATCTCACTTTTACTTGGAAACATTAAAACATTCTTTGGCCCAGATGCTTATAAATATTTTAATATTTGATCCATTTATTATAAATAATTATTTGAAAAATAAATTACGAATTTTGATGTTAGAACTATTATGAGTTAAAAATACTTGGAAGTGTTCAGATACTCAGCTTTAAGTAAAACTTCAATCTTGGGAAAAGATTAAATTTGAAAATAATAATTTTTGTTAGCTTTAATTCATTTAATAATTTAAGAGAAAATGTAGTTAAATTTTGTCCCTATCCATTGAGTAATTTTTTAAAACTCTATGGATTTTGACTTTTAGAAGCACAAATTATTTCTGATTTTTTTTTTTTTTTTTTTTTTTTTTGAGTTCCTTCTGCTAGGTCTCTGACAGCTACGTACTTACACACATCCATGCTGCTTTGAAAACAAATGCCCTAAAGAGAAATGAAAGCAGAAACACATTCTGATTTGTTTGAAGAGGCTTCGGATGACAAAGCATATCACAGGTGTTCCTAATTAAGTTATTTCTATTTTTCAATATTATTTTCACTGGTAGGGCTTCTTTGAGTATTGGCAGGATTTGGGAGTATTTTGAAGACTACCTCTATGTTCCGTATTCAGGGGTCAACTGTGGAACTGCAGGATGCAGAAATCTGTTGATTGTCTTCAGTCTATAATACATGACATTTTTATTGCAGGTTTTGACCTTTAAGAGAGAGCCAATTCTGGAAAACAACCAGAGTTCTTTGATTGAATTCTCACGTGCATTGAAACATGATTAGAAGATTAAGGTATACTAATGAATTCAAAAGTATATCACTTTATATTTTTGTAGAACTGGTCTCAATTGGTAATGCTGAAACTTTCAGGTGAACTAAAATTAGTAGTTCAAAAATTAATTTAACAAGTCCTGTGAAGTGGTCAAAAGTGTGAATTGAAGTGTGAGTTTTCTTGCTTATTGAAATTCCAGATTTTTTAATGTAGTTGATGATCATAAATTACATTAGATCAAACTCTAACTTAACACATTTATTCCCAAGTGTATGTTCTGTATAAGTTTTCTTTACAGATGTTATTACAGTGCACTATGTAAAATAATTTAATAGATAGTAGACTTCATTTTGTAAAATGAAAGATTTAAATCAAATGGAATTTGATTTTTGGCTATTTGACGGTAGGGAAGTACATAGAATATAAAATTAGATAAGACTGAGACAATTTGAAGAGGATACATAACATTCCAAGTTTTGTCCTGACCAAAAGTGCAAGTTTGGTTGAAACTGAAAAATCTACTTTCTTAAGTAGAAACTAGCTTTTTACTCATAGATACTGTAATTAAAAATATTCAACTTATTCATAACCAAAGTTGCTAACTGTTTAATAATAAACTTGTAGAGTGCCTAAACAACCAATAACTTTCATTATCTTAACCTCCAGTTGCAGAATCACTTTTCTGGCATTTTTTTTTTATTATTATTATAATTCCAGTTGAAATTTTCAGTATTTAGCTAATATAATTTGTTTTCTAAATGGTGATCTGACATGATGAAAATGAATATGTTTGACAGTGTTACTTAGTTGGTTCTTTCATAGTGAAGTATTAATGGTAATATTTTTAGAAGATATTTCTTAGTTAATTGCCAAAATGTGATAATAGTTTTTCTGTAATCCCAAGCTTTTTTTTTTAAGAAATTTTTAATGTCCTAAAGAGTGAAGTGTAATTATCATGATCATAGAAGTGCTTTTAACTTTAAACAGTTTAATAGTTTATTAAATAAATGATTCAGGAATGTGAATATGTTAGCAGTTGAGGATAAGTAAAATGTTAAAATTTAATAGAAATCTGATATTTTTATACAAGTTCTGGTATTGATGATCCTATGATGATTGTTTAAGATAAATACAGAGTATAGAATATCTTCACCACTTTCATTTTAGAGTGTTGTAAAGAAAGCAGATTACTTTGAGTATGATGGAACTAAACACTCCCAAGGTAATCAGTTTCCAAGGTAGAGAGTATTAAAATGAAAAATGAAAGATACAGTTCTCTGAGTATCTGGATTCAGTATATCACTTTCCAGCTTCTTTCTCATGGCCTTAATAATGAAAGGGGAAAAAAAGTGTGTTTTGAATAAAATATACAATCACAGAATTCTTCCTAATTTATAATTTATGTTTGAGGGTGTCAAAACTTACTGTCTGAAAACAAATACTTAACATATAATTGTCCCCTCTGTAGTTATGAAGTAGCTTGTAAACTTCTGAAAAGTTAATTTAGTAAATAATATTTAAAAGCATAGTTATTAACAGTTTTGTTATATTTATCATTTCTCACATTGTAAGGAACATTAACCTAATTAATAGTATGTGTTACTGTCAGAGAGTTGATAAAGATTTTTACTGTTACGTTTGATTTGGCTTCTTATAATCAACTGTTACATAACATTTTTGTGAAGATTTTGGCTTTTAAATTTGCAAAACTGATTATATCTAATTAACTTTATTTGTCCCTAAAATACAGTCTTTGTTTCTATTTTATTAAAATAGTTGTCTTTAAGATATTCAACCTATCCCTGAATGAACTTAAATTTTTTCATTTATTTGTCTGTGATGTGTAATACTAGATTAAAAGGGTAACATATTTAAGCAGTTTTGTAAAGTATAGCAGTTTTATGATAGCTTAGAATGTCACTGAGATTTTTTTAATAACATAATTAACTTTTAATTAAAAAATTAAATGTTTATTTGAAGCAACATCGTGCATGTTTTTTTTTTCTTAAATAATACTGTTAATCTAGTTCTATTGTTTTTTCTTCAAATAAGACCTAATATGGCTGGGTGTGGTGGCCCCCACCTATAATCCCAGCACACAGGAGGCTGAGACAGGTGATCTTAGTGAGTTCGAGGCCAGCATGATCTACATAAGGGAATTCAAGGGTATCCTGCATTACATAGCAAGACCCTGCCTCAAAAAAGAAAAAAGAGTGAAGAGACCTCATACATCAGAATTTGTGTTTTCTGATCAGTATTTTTCAAAAGGTAACATTTATTGCAAGAGTTTTAAGTTTTTATTAAATATCATTTTGAAGTACAGTTTCTCTTCTTAGCACTACACACCAGACTTGGTATTTCAATAATATATTATTTGAGTTACCTTTACTTTTTTATTTTCATGTTAGAATCACTTGGAAGACAGATATGTAGTATGTTTTAAGTGTGATTTCTGAAATGCATTAATTACTTCTTAATGGATCGTTATTTCTGAATGTCTACATTTTAAAAAATTCCTTAGTAATTTTTCTGGTTTTTACCATTATGTAGCTCTCATACTATATGCAAAGTTATCTTGTGATCTTCAAAAATAATTTTTACTTTTTGTTTTTCACTAAATTGCTAAGAAAAAAAATACTTTTTCAATTTTTATAAAAATAGAAGACTGGGATTTTATTTTATAAAATGTGATGTGAATTTAAAATATTGCCAGAATTTCATTATTTTTAAAAAACTAGCCTCCATGACTAGGTATTACTATTTTAATTTGCCAGTTGTAGTCTATGTATAAGTTAATGTGTTGAAATATGTTCACATTTTTCTGACTTTTTAGTTTACTGAATCAAAAATTGCTTAAGTGCTAAAAGATGGTTTGCATTTAAATTTGAACATGAAGGCATGGTGGTGTGTGTCTGTAATCCCAGCAGTGGAAAGGCAGGAAGATCATCCTGCGTTCCAGGCCAGCCCCAACTACATAGCAAGATCCTCTCTCAAAGAATTGAAAATAATAAATTAAAGGGCCAGGGACATGGCTCAGTAGATAAGTGCTTCCCTAGCAAGTGCAAGGGCCTGAGCTCAATCCCTGGTCCCACCAAAACGTAAATAAATAAATAAATTTAAACATGCCTTTCATTTAAAGTTACAGGTTTTTATGTTGTATTTAAAGGTAGTAATTTGACAGAATCAGTATTTCTGCTTCTCTTATCAGGTGATCCTATATTACTAAGCTTTTAGCGCTGTATTACACATTTAAAGTAGGTAAATTCCATATGAAAGTTTTTTAATAGTTGGAACTTTGGTTAAATCTTTATGGGTTGAACTCTTTATTCTTTGTTAATAGTGTCTAAAGTAAAACATATGGTGGTGATTAGATATGTGGGACCTGGGAGGAAGCCAAAGGCATTTTGTAAGCAAAATACTAATTTCATTGCTTTATTGGAATTTGAGCACTTTTATTTCCTGGAGAATAACTAGGAATGATACCCTCTTTATCCGTTCAAACTTACATAACTGGTTAAAACTCTTCGGAGACTTTTGACAGTTGAACCGTTTAATCTTAGGAACTAATGGTTAATATGTGTCATTAATTTTTTCTTTATGCCTGTGTTGCAACTTTTCTTTCTAACCGAAACACTAACTTGGTCTTTTGTGTTTACCCAGTTTTTAAACAAAAATCAATTTTATCATATAGTGATGTAAGTGGACTTTATTGGTAGGTTTAGCAAAACTTTCCCTCTGTTAATTGTAATATACTTTCCTTGCTACTTAAACAGGGTCAGCAGTAGCAGTTAATGAATAATTACCATACCAACCCTTTTTCCAGTCCCTTACAGTTGGGAGCAGAGGCTGAGAGATCACCACTGCTTATCAGATGTTCTTTAGAATAGCATTCTGAAGTAATGGTGGCCAAAGAAGCCTATACCCCTCCATCTGTACAAGCCAGTTGGAAAAGCCCCAACTTTCATACAGTTTCTTCTTTTTCTTTTTTTTCCCGGAACTGGGTTTCATACAGTTTAGAGGACACTTTTGTGGACAAAAATACTTCCCTCTGTAGCATAAAGAAAACAGTGGGTGCTTAAAGTCCTTAGGCTTTCAATCCCCGGTACCAAAAAAAAAAAAAAATCCTTAGGCTTTACTATATAGTTTTAGTTCGTTAATTTTTATTTGGATAATAAAATAATAAGTAAATGAACCAAATATTCAGTAGTGTTTGAATATTATTTCAAATAACATTCCACCTGTTAGAATGGAAAATTATCTTCTGGAATTCTGTCTGGTGTGGTATATTTCATGCTTTTCACTTTTAAGCTGATAAGAAAAGCTATTACTGTTTAGCTGATGATACTAGTTTGCAGTCATCCTAGGCAACATAGTGTGTTCAAAGTCCATGAGACCCTATCTTAAAAAAATGAAGAAACAAAGCAGGATATATATTTGGAAAAGAAAAGTAAAGTTGACTGGCCATACACATACATTTTGGGCCATGTTCTGAGCCCATGTTCACTTTTTAACCTCATGTAAACAAGGCTGTTGATTGTGCTGTAATTTAAAAAATTATACAACTCTATACTACTCAGTGTTGCATATAACAAGTAGGGCTGGTCACAGCTGAAAACTTATTTTTTTTCTCGTTACACTATTTTCTCTCTTACCATACTATCCTTATTTATTATAAAAATGATGTCACTACAGATTATTCTAAATCTTTTGGAAATAGGACTTTATAATTTCAAATAGTATGCGAGAGGTTTTAAATTTGTACAGTATGAATTTATGCAAACAATCTAAGTATTCACATATTTTTTCTTTATATCTAAATGATCTCTATAGATTATAGTTACAGAAAAATGGATATTACACTTAAAGTTCTCATTTCATTTGTAGAACTGTTGGTGGGAAACTGTCAGTAACATTCTTGCTTTAATGTATGAGCCTAATGTCCCAATTACAATTCTAACATTTGTAGTAGTATACTACCTAGCTCAGTAATGAGAACTGAATTCCTAGCCCAGTAATGAGC